CAAATAATATGAAAGAGAAGTTTGATAAGAATTGGGGGGGTCCACAAAAGATGAACAAAATGATTTTTATTTCATGTGTGTTCGATCCACGCCACAAGTTTCAATCTCTTTCATTTCCTCTTGCTGCCATGTTTGGAGAAACAATAGGTGTGAAAAGACAAATTGAGGTGAAGACATACATGGAATCTTTGTTCAATGTGTATGCAAAGAAGAATGGTGGTTCTGGTTCATCTCCATCTTCTCCATCTTCCGGTTCATGTCCATCTTCTCCATCTTCCCCTGGTTCATGTCCATCTTCTCCAACTTCATCTACTTCTTCATCATCGCTTTCAAAATTCATGTTAGATTTAAAGAAACATAAGAAGGGTGAAGGAATTGATTCTAAAACAGAGTTAGATGAATATTTGGGTGAAGATGTTGAGGAAAACTTTGAAAATTTTAAAATTCTGGGGTGGTGGAAGTTGAATTCACCCAGATTTCCCGCACTTGCTGAGATGACACGTGATGTGCTAGTCATTCCTATTTCTAGTGTTGCCTCAGAATTAGCCTTTAGTACCGGTGGACGCATACTTGATCCATTTAGGAGTTCATTGACTCCTAGATTGGTTCAAGCTCTTGTGTGTGTCCAAGATTGGCTTCGGTACGAATCAACAACTTCGGTTAAAATTGAAGAAGATTTAGATAATCTTGAACAATTTGAAGCGGGTAAGACTATCTTATTTCTTCAATTACTTTGCTTGTGTTTAATGTATACTTATGTTATGTTTCTTTAGATTATTTTTAAACTAATTTATTCTATTACTATCTTATTCTACAGACTTTATTAATACCGGAAGAGAGCCTTGCATCGTTGACATGTAGAAGGTAAGATTTCATTTCCCAAACTTTAGTAATTCTGCTTTTATCCAAATGAATTGATACATTTGGGTGCTGATATATTATGCATGAGAAAGTATATCTGGTGTTCATTAGTATGTTCAATCTAACAACATTTATGGTGTTCATCAGTTTTATGACTTTATCCAGTATATGATTTGGGAGTGAAGTTTCTAAGATTATATGATTTTCTTACAAATAAGCTTTTGGTGGCAGATTACTAACCATTTATGTTTACTTGAAGGAATTACTTTGATTTGTTTCATTTGCGAAATCTTTGTATGGTAATATGAGTATATTATCCAAAAAATGTATATGTTGCTTTCCTATTTATATGGTAATATGTGGACTTTGCTGAATACATCTGAGAAAACATATAAAGGGCTTGTGCCCGTATCACCATATACCACACCAAGTATTTGAAATGCTAGAGCAAGAGTAGCCAAAAGAGGCATTTGCTAATATGTCATTTGCTAAGGTATTTCTTCCAAATTGATACTTTGTTCTGTTGGAATGGATATTGCAACATGCTTGCATACTTTGTTCTGTTGTACAATTGTAGTGTGTTTGAAGTTTGAGAAATGTTCTGCCCAGTATTAGGCTGAATGGCTGATGCGTGGAAATTGCTTGTACCACTGTTTCTCTCATTTACTTAGGGTTGTGATTTACTGATACTCTCATTTGTGACAAGTGCAGTGTTGCAGAACTTGAAAGCGTGCCAGGAATCAGGATTGAGTGCGATTGTCATAGAAGTTGGAACTTGGAACTCTTTTGTGTAGTCTATTAAGGAATTCTGGTTGAGGATTTCAGTTCATTAGACATATATTTGAGATTTCAGTATATTTTGTTTTGTTATGAAGATTGTGTTTTGTTTATGTAATGGATTCTATCACAAGAATTAGGATTTGCAGCTTTCCTTTTCTTGTTGAATTATAATTATTAACTATGTGTATGTCAATTAGGACTGATGTTCGAGAACTTTGTTCACAAGAATTAGAACTATAGAGATGACCAAGAACTATGTGGATTAGGACTGATGTTCACAAGAATTAGAACTATGTTAAATTGAACTGTTGTTTATGTTAATTTTGTTCTGTTATGAACTGTTGAATCCGATCCAAAAATCCGATCACCAAACNTTGATCACCAAACCGATCCGAAATTATGCAATCTGATCCAATCCGATATAATTCGGATCGGATTCGGATTGCATTTTGTGGAATCCGAAATCCGAAATTTCAATCCGAAATGTACTAAATCCGATCCGATCCATGCACAGCCGTATCACCAACATAGCAACCACACTGAAAATGCTAGCACCGAGTAAAGTGTGATTTTGGCCCCATTGGATCTCGCCATGGCTGAAGTTTGATCCATTTCTATGGATCATAGATTCTCTCGAAGGAAATATACATACCACTTGCATATTTTGGAGATTGGAAATAATCCGTTGTATATGAGAAAAGTCAACACAATATAATTAAAGCACCTAAATTTAATCTACCTTGTTTGAACCACATGTTCTCTTGTAGGAAATTTACATGCATGCTTGAATATTTTGGGGGATGAGATTCCTTCGTAATGAGCAAAGCCAAAACATGATAATTAAAGCACCTAAATTTTTTATGAAATCTATGCCGTGCTCATTACAAACGAGGGGAATAAACTAATGCCAACGAGTACAAGGTTGACGAAATGCATGTCTAATAGCTGGCCAAACTTTTTTTCGTCAAAATTGCGCACAGAAGCACTTTTGGTCAAAAATTGAGTTATTTTGCCAAACTTTTGGAAGGAAAAAAAAGTGCTTTTGAGTTTTGGAGAATCAGAAAAAAGTAGCTTATTTTCAAAAATATTTTTTTGAGAAGCATTTTTGAGAAAAATACACTTAGAAGTAGTTTTTTTAAAGCTCGGTCAAACACTAATTGCTACTCAGAAGTGTTTTTCAAACTAATTAGTCAAACACAAACTGTTTTTCACCAAAAGTACTTTTGAAAAAGCACTTTTAAAAAAAACACTTCTCAAAATAAACTAATTTTTGTAGCTCGGCCAAACGGGCTATGAGATGGGATTAGGCTTCTGTAAGAGAATCTGTTGACTGAGGAATATTTTAAGAACAACTTGAAATTCCGAAATCAACAGAACAGAAAAAGAACTCTAGTCCAGAAAAATTTTCTCCTTTTCATTTCTAGATATTTCCTTATTAAGAAAAATCAGAGCTATATTTGTTTGTCTTTTTTGTTGTGGATTTCAGGTTCTCAAGTCAATCCTTATGGCCAAGTTGGAGATTCAAATTCAGACAAGGAAAATGGCAAGGCCCTCAACTCCTACCCCAGACCACCTTCGGTTCCTCAATCTTTCATTGTTTGATCAGCTGGCTCGTCATATCTATGTACCAGTACTATTACACTACTTGCCGAGCAGTGAATGGAACAGCGCAGAAAACACTGAAACATATGATAAGCTGCAAAAATCATTGGCTGAAACCTTAGCCAAGTTTTACCCTCTAGCAGGAAGATTTAGAAAAGATGACCTCTCAATTCACTGCAATGACGAAGGTGTTGACTATGTCGAAACCAAAGTCAATGCGGATCTTGCTGAGTTTCTCCAACAAGGACCCAAGAATATTGAGCTTTTGGATGATCTTCTTCCAAAAACAGATCTTCCATCAAGCCCATTACTTGGAATCCAAGTAAACATATTCAATTGTGGAGGCCTATTCATTGGAATACAAATTTCTCACATCGTAGCAGATGCTTTCACGTTAGCAACATTTGTCAAGGAATGGGCACACATTAGCCAAACAGGAACGACAAAACGCTGTCTCTCAAGTTTCGGTCACTGCAACCGCTCTTTCCTACAAGAGTGTTATCAGTACCTCAGCCTTCACCACCTTCCGACAGAGGCGCTAAGATTGTCAGGGGAAGGTTTGTGTTTAATGCTTTGGCAATAGCAAAGCTGAAAGAGAGAATCAATTCGACTGCTACCTTAAAGAAAACTACTCGAGTGGTGGTTGTTATGTCGTTAATATGGAATGTTCTAGTGGGCATTTCCTCAGCCAAACATGGACATTCAAGGGACTCTACTTTGTTCTTTCCCATAAATTTGAGAGGAAAATCAAATTTAACATCTACAGAACATGTTCTAGGGAATTTCTTGATGTCTGGAATTGCTATTCTCGAGGCAAACAAATCAAGAATGGAGCTGAATGACTTTGTTAACTTGGTTGGAAATGCATCAAGGGACACATCTGTAGGCATTGGTAAGGCAAGCATCGATGATATTACCTCTATGGTTGTTAAAAATAACACAGAATTTTTAAACAAATTTGGTCAGAAAGACAAGATGGACATTTATGCTATCACTAGTTGGTGCAGATTCCCCTGGTATGAAGCGGACTTTGGTTGGGGAAAGCCGTTCTGGGTGAGTTCTGTGGGCAGATCTATGGAAGTAATTAGTCTGTTTGACACGAAAAATGGTGATGGCATAGAAGCATGGTTAGGTTTGAATGAGAATGACATGGCTGAATTCGAGAGAGACCCTGACATTTTGACATATTGTCCTCGTCAAAAGCATCAGTTGATTACTCAAATTCGATAAAATGAAATTACATTTTGTCCCGTTAGCAATTGTTTATGGTTTGTAACTGGAGTTCCAAATTCGAAGTGTTCTCCTTCATCAGAATTACTATATAGTTTTTCGGGCAAATAGGCCCTTACCTCCGATTATAGCTCCAAGTCCATGCATAATATGTCATGTATGATATGAACTTTGAATGCACATAATAGGCCATAACAAGAACTTAGCCTATCTTGGCTCATTGGTACTCTTATTCTTATAATCTCATAATCACCTTCGTATCGCATACAATTATCTCGTGGAACCTCATATGTTTTCTTTGAATAAATAAGCTTGAAAACTTAACTCGACTATTAGAAAGATAACTTAACTCTAAAGATGTTCACAAAAAGCTTAAAGTATTTCACTTAGTCCTTATACCTGATTTCTTGATAATTAGCAATGGAAAGTATATCAAAAATCAAGTGTTTTAATAGTTTAAACGTAAAATTTATATTTGAGATTTTTGGAAATCGATGTGTCACTTTAGAGATTTTAAAATATATTTTAATAAGGAAGAAGGACTGATCGTAAATACTACATGCCTTTATTTGGTTTAGTCACACAACTCAAAGACGAATAAGAATTCATATATATAAACATATGGATAAGAAAACCGACAAAATGACATATATAGATGTCGAATACCCTAATTAACCGAACGAGTAGAATATCAACCTAATAGCATCATGAAAATACTTCAGCTATGATCCCAATGCCTTTCACAGAAGGTCTTTCTAGCAAGAGAATAGTAAAATATCACATTTGACGTCTTAGGAATTTCCAAGAATTCGTGCAAAAAGGAAGGACGGAGCTTAGTCTTAACATACCTTTTCAATGAACGTCCGAATGCCTGTAGTTCCATCACGAAAGTTGTTCCTTACGTTCTAAGATTTGCAAACACTATATATATGCAACTTATACGCACCTATAAACAGTTCATAATTGAGTTTAAATCGGCAGATTTGCCATATGGCCATAACTTGACGAAACGTTCGTAGAACTTTGTAAAAACGATCATAAAAGAGTCCCAAGATGATTACCTTGGAAAATCAAGTATAAAGCCTGAAGAACCAACAAGAACAACAAATTCTTATCTTCGAAAAATAGCTCCAAACACAGCTAATAGAAGGGGGAAACGATTGCAAAGCGTAGAGATTGAGTTTCTAGGCACGGGGACAAACTTTAACGGTAGAAATCGTTAAAAACGTACCTTAATCACTCAAGAACACTATGGAACCCTCTCTTCAGCTCCCTCACTATTTTGGGAAGAAAATGAAATATTTTGGGGTCTTACAAGTCGGATTTTCCGACTTATACCACTTGTTTGACCCGACTCGGTTCGTGACCCGGTTTCATCCTGGACAGTCCGGGGTAAACCAATCATAACTTTTTACTCCAATGTTCGTTTGATGTGAGATTTTTTTGGTTGCAAACTAGACTTGTAGACCTTAGATTAGATAGGTTGTGGGTCTCATAACTCATTATATATTGGGAGAAATGATCTGATACATTTGACCCAAAGTTTAGAGAAATTTACGATAACCTTTGCCGACCTTTATTTCGCAACTTGCTTGACTCCAAAACTTAACATGTGACCCGTGTGATATTATAATACCTCATAATACACTATTCTTAGCATATTAGACACTCTTAGTCTTATCCCACAGGTGCAAGTTAACTTAAAACTTCCGAACGCGCGGGGTGTTATCCGAGCCATTTCTTTAACCATGAACCTTTGTTTAAAGGATTCTTTTGACCTAAAGATTTAGTTAGTTCCTTGATATTACCACACATTTTCAGTTTTATTCTCCCAATGTGCTATACCCAATCATATATACCTAATATAACCACGCCATGTTACGTATATTACGTAAGAGAAGAGGAAAAAACACATGGGGTCTCATAGTTTCCCCACTTAAGAACATTCGTCCACGAATGGGTCAAATCAATTCCTTGGTTTCATTTTTTTTCCACTAACACGTTATTTGTGAGGCTATATTTGTTACATTTGCAAAGCATAAATCAAATTCTGAAGATTCCAACTACTAGGCTTTGTATAGCTATCTCGCAATAAGAAATTTAAATTGCACTTTCTTGTCATTTAAAAAATCCAACTAAGTGTTGTAAAGAAATAATTGCCAATTATTTAAATGCGACTCACCTTAAGTCGTAAATAGGTAGGGGTACTTCTTCCTCATTTCCTTCTCAGCCTCCCAGGTCATTTCCTCGATGTTATTATTTCGCCATAACATTTTCACGGAAGCCACTTCTTTATTTCGAAGCTTTCTTACCTGCCGATCTAAAATAGCTATTGGTACCTCTGCGTAAGATAAGTCTTCAGCAATGTGAATATCCTCAATGGACGTAATACGTGAAGTATCTTCAATGCACTTCCGCAACATAGATACATGAAACACAGGATGGACTGTTCCCAATTATGAAGGCAAATCAAGCTCGTACGCCACCTTACCAATCCTCCAAATAATCTTATACGGTCCAACATACCTGGGGCTGAGCTTCCCCTTCTTTCCAAATCGCATGACGCCCTTCATAGGCGATACTTTCAGGTAAACCCAATCTTCTACATCAAACTCTAAATCTCATCGTCGAACATCTGCATAAGACTTCTGCCGACTTTGTGTTGTATGCAGCCGATCTTTAATAAGTTTTACCTTTTCCATTGCTTGCTGGACTAAATTAGGACCTAGCAACTCTGCTTCCCCGACCTCGAACCAACCGATCGGTGACCTACACTTTCGCCCGTATAGTGCTTTGTAAGGGGCCATCTGAATACTAGCATGGAAGTTTTTATTATAAGCGAACTCAATATGAGGTAGATGATCATCTCAACTTCTTTTAAAATCTAGCACGCAGGCACGTAATATATCCTCAACTGTCTGAATAGTACGCTCTGCATGTCCATTAGTTTGCGGATGAAAAGTTGTGCTAAGATTTACCTGCGTGCCTAGACCCTTCTGAAAAGATTTCCAAAAATGTGCTGTAAATTGAGCCCCTCGATCAGAGATAATAGATAATAGTACCCCATGAAGGCGCACAATCTCCTGAATGTAAAGCTTGGCATAATCCTCGGTTGAATATGTCGTCCTGACTGGCAGAAAATGAGCAGATTTTGTAAGCCTATCAATAATTACCCAATTAGAATCATACCTCCGTTGAGTACGAGGCAAACTAGTGATGAAGTCCATATTTATCATGTCCCATTTCCATAATGGAAGTTCAATACACTGAGTTAGGCCTCCAAGCCTCTGATGTTCGGCTTTAACTTGCTGGCAGTTAGGACATTGGGCTACCATCTCCGCGATATATTTTTTCATTCCATTCCACCAATAGATCTGTAAAAGGTCCCGATACATCTTTGTCACTCTGGGGTGAACTGCATATCTAGAATAATGGGCCTCCGAAAGAATCTTGGCGTGGAGCTCTCCGACTGTCGGTACACATAAGCGGCCCTGGTATCTAAGGACTCCATCTCCAGTTAGCTCAAATAAAGGTTGTCGCTGCTGCAGAATACTTTCCCTCAGTTTTATAAGCTTAGGATCCTCGTGTTGTCACTCTTTCACTTCAGTAACAAAAGAAGATTTTGTCGTATTCTGAACGAGAATGCGTCCACCCTCTGCATCTACCAAATGCACCTGCAAACTAGCTAGCAGCTGGCATAGATATTTGGTCATCTTGACCTTATCAACTTTAATATGGCTTAGACTACCCATGGACTTCCGACTAAGAGTATCAGCAACAATATTAGCTTTGCTGGGATGATATAAAATATCAACATCATAGTCCTTTAGTAATTCTAGCCATCTTCTTTATTGTAGGTTCAGCTCCCTCTGTTTAAATAAATACTGAAGGCTCTGGTGGTCGGTGAAAATATCAATATGAACCCCATATAGATAATGCCGCCAAATCTTTAGAGCGAAGACAACTACGGCTAACTCAAGATCGTACATAGTATAGTTCTATTCATGTTTCCACAACTGTCTGGAGGCGTACGCGATAACCTTACCATGCTGCATAAGAACACAACCTAGGCCAATTCTCGAGGCATCACAATAGACAACATAACCCTCGGTGTTATCAGGAAGAGTCAAGACAGGTGTCGTCGTAAGCCTTTTCTTTAGCTCCTGAAAACTTTGTTCACATGCCTTAGTCCATTGAAACTTAGCTCCCTTATGTGTCAGCTTCGTCAATGGTGCAGAAATAGAGGAAAATCCTTCCACAAACCTTCGGTAATACCCTGCCAAGCCTAAAAAGCTACGAACCTCTGTCGGATTCAAGGGCCTCGGCCAAGTCATCACAACTTCAATCTTTTGGCCATCAACCTTGATACCATCGCTGGTAATAACATGACCAAGAAAAGCTACAGAAGTTAGCCAAAATTCACATTTAGAGAATTTAGCATATAACCTGTAGTCCTGGAGAGTCCGCAATACAGCTCGCAAGTGGTCCGCATGCTCGGCTTCCGATCATGAATATATCAAGATATCATCAATAAACACAATCACAAATTCATCCAAGAATGGTTTGAATACCGGTTCATAAGATCCATAAAGGCTGTTGGGGCATTTGTAAGCCTAAAAGACATGACAAGGAATTCAAAATGGCCATACCTCGTCCTAAATGCTATTTTTGGGATATCAATATCCCTAACTTGTAGCTGATGATAACTGGATCGCAAGTCGATCTTCGAAAAGCATTTGGCACCTTGTAATTGGTCGAACAAGTCATCAATCCATGGAAGAGAATACTTATTCTTGATAGTGACTTCATTTAGTTGGCTGTAGTCAGTACACATCCGCAAGGAGCCATCTTTCTTTCGAACAAAGAGCACCGGAGCACCCCAAGGGGATGTACTTGGCCTAATAAAGCCTTTATCGAGCAAGTCTTTCAGTTGTTCCTTCAATTCCCTTAGCTCTGCAGGAGCCATTCTGTATGGATGAATGGATATAGGTTGTGTATTAGGAAGCAAATCTATAGCGAAATCGATTTCCCTTTCGGGGGGAATTC